TTGTCAACTAACGTGAAATCAACAAAACATTTCACCATGTCATTGGATTTAGGTTAAAAGTTTGGCGGCAAAAAGACGAAATGCCCATACTTGCAGGGAGATCCTTGAAGATTGATGTCATGGCATACTGACCCCGTGTAGCTCAGTTGGTAGAGCATTGCGCTTGGAATGCCAGGGTTGTGGGTTCGATTCCCACTGGGGCCAGTATAAAAAATGTATGCACTCAATAACTGTAAGTCGCTATGGATAAGAGCGTCTGCTAAATGACTAAAATGTTAAATGAAATTGGACTTCTATCCAGAGGACATCGGAAAATGCCCTCAAAATCGGCCACTAGGGGCAAAAGTGAGCGCTGTTACCATCAAGTAGGCTAGGCTTGGGTTTTGCTAGGGTGGTGGATGGGTGTGAACCCATGACTCGGGATCACTGGTTTTACATTTTTTGTTTTAACCCTATCCCAAACTCTTACCTTATCCATTCGGAATGAGTGCGTGAACTTAACCATTAACTTCAAAATTTGACATTCGGAGCAACTTCGAAATTTGACGTTTAGAGAATGTGGATGAATGTATAATTCTGCACTGACTGTGAGAGTTTGTTGCTGGATGAGGTTTTGCAAATCCAATCAGTTTTCTATGTTGTTTCAACGTAATCATATTTATTTATTTTGGTTGAAATGACATGATTCAACCAGTTTTTGCCCAGTGGGTGATCCGTCGCCAGTATTGTGAAATAATTATAATGTTAAGGTAAGATTTGAATGGAGAAAGCTGATCTGAGAGCAGAGCTCGCTTACTTTCAATACTCAGTATAGACACATGCTCCAACGACGCACTTAGCGACCGTTCACTCTGTGTGGTGTTTTAGGAAACTCTCCTAAACCTAAATTCCATCGCTATCGGGAAACCGGGCCCTGGGCCTCGTTTCCCAGTTGTGATGTAATTTAACCTGATGATCGTACCAGATAGATCATTATTTATGAGCCAACTTTTTAAGTGTTTCCCAAACAAGCACATAGAGAGAACGTTCGCTAAGTGCGTCGTTAGACTGTCCGTACTGATAGGATCGAAAGAAAATCAGCGCTGCTCTCAGATCAGCTTTCTCCATTGAAATCTTACCTTAACATTATAATGATTCCACAATACTGACGACGTATCAGCTCCTATAGAGAAATTACCACCTATGGCTGCAAATGGGCTATTGAGGCGGCTTATTATGCTTAAATTTGATTTACCCAATAATAATGCACTAAATCACAGATTGGGCACATCATTGCGTACATGTCACACATGAAACACATTGAGGGAAAAATGACAGACCGTAGCCTAGTAGGAAATTAGAACTCAATTGATTGAACATGAAATGTATTTGAATATGATTGAAATTAAGAGCCATGTTACTAACGAGGGCTCGGGGAAACACCTCGGCTACTAAAGATACATCGTAAGAAGGTTCTAATGATGATCTTAATGCTACTAAGGCTCTGGGAAACGAGGCCCTGAGCTGTCAGTTGATGTAAAGAGGACCGGGTCGCCTATAGCCTAAACTGTCAGTTCATTTGTAAGTGTTATAACAGCCGATGTGTTGTCATTTTGGATGGTTTAGCCTACTGCGCCCCGACCTGTTTCCTCTGTTGCATGGTTTATTTCCCCGGGGTCACGGGGTCAAACGACTTATTGCACTAATTGAATGTGAACGGTGGGTGTTGAAGTCTTTAACCCCTTCATAATCAACAAAATGATATCCGGCTAGATAGTGGAAACTAAGAAGTAACCTATATCTTATTCCACAGATGTGCTAATAAGGCTGTTATGAAAAACCCTCATGATGATAATCTGAAATGGACAACCCTAATTGGGTAAATTAGTGACGAGATGTTACATTTTCCAGTAATATAAATTGGGATCTAAATGCTTTTGAGAATCGTCAACAGTGCTCGAGTATTTTAATATTATATCCTCAATTCTTCCCTGAGGCTATGAGGGAGTGCTTGACTTGGCAGGAGCTCACCAGAGCTGAGTACCGGCACCTCACATGTTCTACTGCTTGAGCTCCTGTTCCTCTTATAGAATATTAGCTCAAAAGTATTGTGGAGCTCCTGCACCTAAATGTTAACAATACCGGCTACCAAAATGAGTACAGGCACCTATTTTAGTCCAAGTCAAGCACTGCTCTGAGGGATTCACACTCTTTGTCCTGGAATATTGGATATTATGTGCACATTTTGCCTTGCGCCATTTTAGGGCTACGTGGCCACGGCAGGGGGCACTCAAAAAATCCAGGCATGCTTAATACATTTTAAGTGTTAGCGTTTGCACATTGCATAATGTTGTTCATAACCCTATATCAAAGTTTGTTTGATGCATCACTACAATATTGTTACATGGTTACCATATTCATCACAATTGATGCTCGGTTATATCCGCCATCGGTTCGTTATACTCCATAACAAACCCATTCCTTGCAAATATTAGCTTTTATTACATTTACATTACATTACATTTTACATTTTTTATTCACCCAACCTCAACCTCCTTCCCGTTTTACGTTTTAATAATGGTTGACAAGTATTTTAATTTAACATGTAGCCCAATAGGACTGTAACCTATGTGATAGGTTCATCTTTGGACGAGAAAGTGCCACAACAATTGACTGTTTTTGTGTTTTTTTTTCTTCACATTTGTATTTAAATATTTTCAACATTTATGGATTATGAATTTCAAGTTCTACATTGATAGGCCTTCAGCGATCACATCTTGAATTAAAGTAATCTTCGTTTACTTCTCCTATATTTTCTAAAGAATTTCTGGATTAATTAACATGTTTCAACCTTGTTGTCCTTAATGATAATTTAGACCGCTATTTAATTATTATTTACTCTGAATTAATAGCCTATATTCATGCATCATTAACGAGTAATTCTCAGCTGGTGATTGATCGGCAGTTTATTTATCCAGGACCCAGGGAGTCCAGTTAGTTTCGTTGCTGCACCAGGTTTGCATTTAGACTGTAGGATAATTTCATCATCAAATGATAGACTAATATGCAACCAAAAGTTTGTAATTTTGTAGGTCTATGAAATTATAGTTTTACCATAACTCCAAGACTATTGTTTACATTTTGATATTAATTTTAGAATAATTATTTTATAATTAATTTAATTTGTTATACAGCGCTTTTAATTAGAGTATCCTCAAATCTTTAGGCAGAAACATACAACAATACGTAGCCTACATTAATTATAATAATAAAATAAATGTCATGCTTGTTTGAAATGAATGGTTTACCAAGCGACTTTTTATTTTCTATACGTGGTGTGTCTTCGCCCATGGAAACCTCGTTTGATTCGAGTCAAGGGGTCTCAAACTAAAAACTTTCCTAATAAAAAAAGTGATCTACAAGTAAGTTTATTCATGGTATGTCTTGTGCACTGTTGTTTTATCTCTGATACTAAATGTTTGCACAAATGCTTTATAGCGGGCCCACATAACTAGATAACACTGCTTAGTTCAACATTAACCCACCATATATAGGACATATTTCATACGTGTTTGTACCGTCTCTTTTTTTCTAGTGGCACACTCACGTTTTCTGAAAAATCCTGTAATGTATTGATTAGGCTATAGTCAAATAGTAAATATGATTAGGTCTACCATAAAAACCTTGTAATAACTCAATAATTACAATTCTATTCCGTTTGTCAAATCTTCTCCACTTTGAAAGATATGATAAGAAAACATTGCCAACCCCTTTTTTAAATGTTTGAGTGTGTAAACGTTATGCATTAGATAGGCTATTTAGATGGCTTTGCTAAACAGTTTTCTATATTTGGCCTCCCAATTGCGCCCTGACTCTACCAGCAACATGCGGGAAAAGAATAGATGAAAATAAAACGAATCTTAAGCCTTGTTATCAGTGTCTTCTAGTACACCGTATACAGCTATAGATACAACGTTTCAATAAGTTGGTAAAGATCAATATTCTCTTCTATATTTCCCCTCAAACAAATAATCATGCTTCTGACCAGGCCACCTGTCATGGTCCTCGAGCTCACTCTGATTTTCAGCTGTTCATGAAGCTCTAATATAACTTAATTAAATATGCTAATTTTGTAATCAAATAAAGCCCTACTCGTGCAGTAGGTTATGATACGTGATAAGAAGACAGTGAGAGGTCCTATATTGGACCCTTATCAAAATGAGGAAGCCAACCTTTATATACCGACGCATTAGAAAATGTGATTAGTTGGAAAAAATAACTTGTTCCCGGCACTTTACGCATAACGTCTTGGCACATCCAGTAGCTGTGTATGGAGGCTTTCAGTAACAGTTTATCATTGCACAACTATACATAGATAAATATGTAATTTTAATCAATTTTAGTAACATATTTGTAGGTCATGTTTAATTATTGGAATGGGAATATTAGCTATTTCACTCTCGGGAACAATTTTTATTATATTTATCAAATAAATGTAGTCCTATTTTTTCCATAAACCCCTGACGATGTCAATTTAGTGCTGGATGGTCAGTTACGAGGGTCCAGTTTCGGATTCCACTTCCAGGAGTTGTTATTTCTCTCATCTGCAATTGGTTGACACATTTTGGCTCTCTCTCTTTCCAGGCTTCTCATTGGACGCGCGGGATTTGACAGTGAGCGAGAGGGTTGCACTTAACGCTTCGGAAAAAAACGTTCTCCAGAAGTGAGTATCAATCAGAGAGGGGGGTAGAAGGACAGAAAGAGAAAAAGGAAGTGGCAGGAAAGCTGGACGGAGAGACAAAAGCGATAGATAGCATTACTTTCGAGCAATCAAATGCGACGTAGGGATGGCATATCATATCGTTAGAGGTTTGAAACACCATTTATAGACACAGTTTTTGGATTACTTTCGTTATTGGTGACTTTTTGCACCGTTGTAAACATTGACGTTCGCATTTTCCTTGCGCTCACTGAGTGGACTGAGTTTTTGTTTTCCCTCTTGTGGATTTGCCTTGGGAGAAATGAGTGACAGGAGGCGATCTGCCGCTGCTCTGAGCTCAAGAGCGCACGCCTTTTCGGTGGAAGCCCTGATTGGGTCAAACAAGAAGAGAAAGCTCCGCGGCTGGGAGGAAAAGGAGCTGGAGTTGTCTATGGAGAGCCTCGCCACCAACGGACAATTAGGAGACGGCGACGACCCTTGTCTAGATATCGACCCTGGTCAGTGCGTAACCACCATTACTTCATATTTTGGGGTTGTTGAATATTGTTATGCTTACATCACAAAACTACGGATTATATCTCATGGAATAGAGGAATACAGAAAATGCAACTATTTCATCACCATCTATAGTCCCGTGTAGCTCAGTTGGTAGAGCATGGCGCTTGCAACGCCAGGGTTGTGGGTTCGATTCCCACGGGGGACCAGTATGAAAAAAAAGATGTATGCATTCACTAACTGTAAGTCCCTCTGGATAAGAGCGTTTGCTAAATGACTATAATGTAATATCAAAGATAACGAGTCCTTTGACTTTTTCCTCAGATAACTAATGTGGAATAATATAGTAGCCTACTTCTGTAGGCTAATAGTGTACATAAATAATATATGTTTGTAGTTTAACATAACTATATACCGTTGGCCTAATAGTGGTGTATTAACATTGTGTAAATTATCAAAGAAGTTAACCCCAAAATATTGATTTTGTACAATAACCATTGCTTTAACAAATTAATTGGCCTGTCAGTAGACCATGAAGCACGCAGAAAAATGTAGTAGCCTCTCGCGGAAGGTCACGGTTCATTTTCTTATTGCACAACTATATTCATTCATATCATAAATGGTTACCTTAAAAGTTGTATTACCATTGTTTTACAAATTACTACATATTGGTAAAAAATACAGGTCGCATGTGAGGCCAGTGTCCCCTCTCCACTAGGCCTAGCTGCGTAAAATCTATTTCACTTGTGCCTCCCCACTGGGCAAAGACGTAAATTCAACGTCTATTACACGTTGGTTCAATGTCATTTCATTGAAATGACGTGGAAACAACGTTGATTCAACCAGTGTGTGCCCAGTGGGTCTCTATTGATACAATACAATTGGCCATATCGGTGACCCCAGTGGAGACATGGTCAATTGTAATTAATATTTACATATTAAGATGGTCTTCAATTGAGAGAGATATTTGGCAGAGATGAGGTAGGCCTACATTGGCAGCAAAGTTGCACGATTTAGTGTAGTTTCTGGGATTCAATGCAAATCATTCATTTTTGCAGCGTGCCACATACAAGATATCATAGAAATAGGCCATCAAAGGCCAAATCTGGGTTTCTTATATATATATATCAAAATTGTGAGTCCAAGTATAATATAAAACAATGCGTGTGTGCGTGTGTGAAGAGAGTGTGTGTGTTGTTTGCACTTGGTTAGCCTGTGTGCCCTGTATTTTCTATTCTAATTTCGTGCAGCATATGTAGACCTAGTCTAACGCCATCATTTTTCCTATTTGGGAAACAATAGGCCAATAAAACGTACGTTTAAACTATTTGTATTATAAAGTTTTATTGGTTTATTTTTCCAATAATATAAACTATTTCGCTATATGAAGTTAAGGACACGCAACCCCCGTCTGTGTTTGGCCTATAGGCCTACTCAAAATGTGTTCAGTGGATTACTTTAAGTCGAAGGAAAACACCAACACAGCTTTCAGTCAATTATTGAGTCTTAATATGATTTTGTTATGTTTAAAATAAAATAAAATGCAGTGTATTCGCTATAGGAAAAACGTCGATTGGGTAGAGACTCGGGCCTCAATCTCCAAGTGGCACTCACCTATATGAGCAATGGTGCGTCTAAAGAATAGCTTTTATAAAGAATAAAGCAGAATTGGGACATCAATGTATATTTCATTCAAATTGATAATATGAATTGTGTATGCCACAATCCCAAAATCGAAATGCTCAGGCTAATTTGAATGGCCTGCTATGATTCACGCAGGCTTTCTATTATTGTCAAAACATTTCATATCCATAAATCGGAAATATCCAACTATTTTTACATCTTTCTATCGCTTTTAATTTGTTGGACATGTTGTAACAAGCCAAAGAAAGTAGCCTAGACTATCAGGATTTTCAATAAGTCGAAGTTATTGCATTCCTAGCAAGTCACATTATATTCAAGATAGGATAGGCCTATCTCTCATTTTATATGCTAGAATTTTCTAATTTATTTACAAAGACGGCAAAATATGTATGCAAACCTAAAACTAACGCTTCTGGGATTTATATGTCACAAATGTCTCGTCTTTTCTACGTTTTGAGGGATTTGGAGCAGGTTTGAATTGAAGAACATTGCATTGAACTTATCGAAGAGAGACTGATGTCAAAAGCAGACATCAATGACTCAATCTTGAGGCTTCGAGCTTGAATAACCTTACTTTATTAACTAAATCACGATGGAGATATTCCACACCCTGGCCTATTCCAACCATCTCAGGCCTCAAATATGAATTCTAGGCCTAATATGAATGGATATATCTCCTCTCAGGTCCTTATAGACTACATTGAATTTCAACAGACACGTAAGCCAACAATCCCCATTACAATTGGATTCACAATAGGCCTTGTAGCCTATAGACCATACGCGAAGTCCCTCCTGCTTTTTATCAAATATATAGGCCTGAATTAATGATCTAAAAGGGTCTAAAACTAGCCCTGCTATTTGGCATTATAGGCTATGTGCCTAAATATATATATATCTTATTTGGTTAATTTAGCGTCACGTGCATGGCTTTATGATCTACATATTTATTTATAATTTTACAATTCATTGTAGAGGCCGGGTCAAGCTGCATGGTTGAGAAGCCTTCAGCAAAATGACGGACCCTCGAGCACAGAGGCTGCTGTCTGAAACGCGCCAGCCGCCAAGTGTTGTGCATTTGGTGGATGCCTCACAAATGAGGAGAACCGAACTAAATTAGTTCACAGCTGAGATGCAGGGTATCAGTACTACCATTGACAATTTGACAGCGAGTCAATCAGTCAAGCACAGGTTATATACCCTCCACGGTTTCACATGAGCTGTTTCAGTTAGGGTCGTCGTTAATTGAAAAGTCACGTTGTCTCCACGGGCTCCAAGTCGTTATGAGCCAGATTCCTGGCAGCATTGCGAGCAGTGTGGGAGAGTATCCAGCCTTGACTAGCCTCCAGTTGACGCGTAGACCAGCCATCATTGAAAACAGCTCGTCCCTGTGGTCAGTTTGTGCGGTTTAGTCTTTTTACTTAATGATTTTGCCTCCATGTGAAGCTTTCAAACCGACATGGCCATATAACATTCTTATTGAAAGACAAGTATTGGGAGAATAGATCAAAATTGTGAGAACACCACACAATAGCTTAAACTGAATTAATCACAATGTGTTTCCCAGAGAACCAACATGTATGACAAACATTACCTTAGTTTCAGATAAGCACATGTAGGCCTATCTGCAGAATTTCCCCTCCAAAGCAAGGACTATTATCAATATTAAATTGCCTGCCTGAAATGTAAATATCAGCACTGTCAGGTGTGTGTTTGTGTGCGTGCGAGAGAGAACATAAAAACCTGGAATAATAAGACAGAGTACTTTTCATTGTGGATTTACAAATAAATATATATAACATATTGCAGATTGCCTTTAATCTCACTCTTAATGATAGCCTATTACTAAATGGCTTGTATAGCATGTCTGTCTCACACAGGGAATCTGTCATTATATTATGGATAATCATTTAGACTTTTATTTTTATTTTTATAGTCTATGGGGTGACACTGGATTTTAAGAGACAGGCATAGGCTACTGTCACTGAACTGCTGAATCTTTATTTTAAAACATATATTTGTGATTTTGTGATTATTCTGTCCATACTTCATTTAGCTCTGTGGTTAAATATTTTAACCTATTCTATATAATAATATATTATATAATGTATGATATATAAATTGTCACTTGGTACTAATTATCTCTGAACCATTAGAGACCCAACTTTAAAAATTCTGCCTCTGAGAAGAAAAGCCCAAATGTAAGAAAACAGATGTGTGCACTATTAAAACGGTTAAATCTTCATTTTATTGCCTCTCCCTAACATGGGTCTGAATTAAATGCATGTAGAAACAGGTGGTTCTGCTTGTGGATTGGGTTACTCTTCGATTTCATGGTTGGTAGATTGCTACTTACCCAGCCTGTTACAACTGTATTAAATGCATCTTCTATTCATAAACCTGTTTCCATAGGAAGGGCTTTACCTTGTAAGGCAAGTGTGTAATGATCACCAATGAACAGATCAGTCATACTATGTGAATAGTCCATTGTTCCAATTCAATAGTCACACACGTTTGTTAGTTTAAAAAAAGTATGATTTTATTCTTAACATGGTTTTTCAAACTAGATCATTACATAGTGAATGAGTTTGTGTGTCAGAATAAGAAGCTAAAATCCATAATATTCTTTGCACCTTTTAAAGTGTTATAATTCACATTCAAACTATCTGGATTTCTTGTTGTGACAAAAGCTGATTTCTCTGTGCCTAACCACAAGTTAGTTTAAAGGGTTTTTGAAAAAGTGAGTGCTCTTCTCCATAGTTTAGTAGAGATTGGTGCAGTCTTTATTGGACAACTGTCTTTGATTGTAGTTGGTCAGCATTAATCATGCACTTGAGGTTAGCACCAGATTTTTGACTCTGCTTCCACCTTTCTCTCTATTAGCTGCAGTGAGGTGCTACTTCCTTAAATATATGTATTTGTCCCTCCCTTCCTCTCACTCCATCTCTCTCATTGTCTCCACATTTCTCTTTCGATATGTCTCTTTTTACCCAGCAATATCCTGTGTAATGTGGAACAGATGTGTGTTGTTTCTCACACTTGTGTTGCTCTTCTCTACTGACTGGTTATAGTGGGTGAGACAGAGTAGGCTGTCAGTGAGGAGGGGGACAATGGGATAGCTGTGGTGGAAAGGGACTGGTCTGGTAACATATGAGGGACAGCGTGGTGACTCAGTGAGTGCTGGAGGATCCACGCGGCGCAGCTTGATGACAGCAAAGGCCTGAGACGACAGCAGCAGCCAGGCAGTCATGATTGCAAATATCTGGTTTGGCCTCTCCCACTGTGTGGCTGACGGCTGTGGGGCTGTATGGGCCAAATCAACAGTCACTCTGTCTGCCATGTTCTCCGGCTCACACAGGGTGTGAGAGAGAGGATCATCACCGCCAATACGCTGAAAGGATCTCTCAAGAGGATGACAAAAAGTCTCTCCTCTAAATATCCCACTCCCCTTTTCTGCACCCCTCTCTCTCTCTCTCTCTCTCTCTCTCTCTCTCTCTCTCTCTCTCTCTCTCTCTCTCTCTCTCTCTCTCTCTCTCTCTATCTCTCTCTCTCTCTCGCATCCCTGTCTCTGTGGTGTAGCTGTCCTGCCTGCCGTGCCTTCATGTCTCCACTCCATGCTCTTGTCTCTTGTTTTGGGGCTGGTGATCACTTGGTGGTTAGTCCTGGGCCACACTCCAGTCTTTAGCAGTCCTGCATCTGCATAACCCTGCTTACTTGGTGTGTCCTGCCAAAGCAACCTACTCATGTCAGGGACCTCAATAAATAATATAATATTACATATTGGCACATACTAACAGAGGAGACAAGTACATTAATAAGAAATATAATTCATAACTTTACAGTAGGCTGTATAGAACTCAAAACGTTTCAATTTATGAGCTCATAAATGGTGAATTGTATTTTTCACTAAATAGTGTTCTCCATATCGAACATTAAATGCTGCAGCCTATAGTAATGTAAGCCTACACTCTTAGAAAAAAATAAGTGCTATCTATAACCTAAAAGGGTTCTTCGGATGGCCTCGTTGAAGAACCCTTTTGGTTCCAGGTAGAAACCTTTTGGGTTCCATGTAGTACCCTTTCCACTGAGGATTCCACATGAAACCCAAAACGGTTATACCTGGAACCAAAAAAGGGTCTCCTATGGGGACAGCCAAAGAGCCCGTTTGGAACCCTTTTGGATTCCAAGGCTTTATTTGGAAACTAAGATCTGGAACAGCTAATCTGGGAAATTTCGTCTGTTCATGTTGTTTATGTAGGCTACACTTCTTTTGCCATTTTCGTTGTTCTTATTGTGTTGCCTCTATTAGAGATTTCATGGTAAAAAATATAATAACTTTGTTATAACTTTGTTGTGGGTCCTTTTCATATGTCGTAGTAATATCTGACATCAGACTATAGACAAAGTAATATAAATTAAAGTTTGTAGTTCCTGTGTATGTTTATTTGAATAATACGTCTTACATTCATATGGGCAAGAGGCTGTTAGGCATACTTTATATTTTTATGCTCTCATTAACTGTGGCGTGGCATTCAGTTGGGTTAATTTTTTAGCTTTTTAATTTTGTTTGTGGGCATGTTTTTTTTCATGTTAAAATACCCATTTCGTTTGACGCACGCGTTACCCTTGTGGATACTTTATGACATTTCGAACGCAAATTGAATAGTTTTAGTCAGATTTCAATTTTCTTCAGTTTTGGTGCTTTGTCTGATTTCATGCTGCAGGTGATTTGGCCTCAACGGGCAATACCAGAGACCGTAAAAAAGAGGTCAATACTCAAGGCCAATTTTCCTAAGGCCCCCGCTTTACCTTGGCTACATTTTCATAATCTTGTTAATCTCCATAGATTCGGAGGCAAGCCCCGGATCAGACGGCGAGGGTTTGGCGGAGAGGACGTCGTGCTCCTTCGGCTCCCCCGCGGAGCTGGCCCCGGCGGCCTGCGAGCCGTCTCCAGCTGCCTCAATGGAGGAGATTCAGGTGGAGCTGCAGTGCGCAGACCTCTGGAAGCGCTTCCATGAAATTGGCACAGAGATGATCATCACTAAAGCAGGGAGGTAAAGCAGCTACTGCATATTTATGATTTAAAGGACTCATCTGATATTATATTTCCTTCTAGGAATAGGCTGCGCTGCACATATATTCTGTGTGGGCCTACTATAGGATAGACTAGGCATATGGCCTAGCCTACTATAGGTTTTTACGACTAGGTGCATTGCCTCCGATGACGCAAAATTGTTTATGAAGTTCTGTGCAAACCCAGAAATTAATTATAATTGCTACATTTTCCAAGTTATTAAAAACATATTTCTTCCTCACAGCGTGTGGACTATAGCATCAGGAGACCAGTGTGCATAGTCTATATGTCCACACACACACACACACACACACACACACACACACACACACACACACACACACACACACACACACACACACACACACACAGTCTTGTACACACACACGCACACCGAGCCTAGATTTGCACAAAAGACGCCCGTGCGCTATGGGAATTACCCCTGTAGCACGCTATGTTTTTGAGGGGTGCTAATGTGTTGCACATGGGGGAAAGGGCTCCGGACGTGCGAGGGCCGCTCCAGTCACAGGCCAGACATGAAGTGTGAGGGTATTCCATGGCTGATGTCAGAGAATAGCCGGCGAAGAAAGGAACTGTTTCTAATTAATCTCTTTGAAACATGTTTTCGGTTTTCTTGCTCTTTTGGGTAGCAATTACAACCCAAACCGAGCATATAACTAAACCTACACTGTTCTCAGGAAGACCTTTCCCCCACGCGCTCTCGCCGGGAGCGCCATTGTATTTCCCGTCCATTTGGAATTTTACGATCAAGCAATATGAGAAGGGAACTTATTGCTTGATTTATTTGTTTGCCATCAAGGAAACTTATGAAGTCCACTTATTCACAAAGTAAGCCCAACAGTAAAGTGGTCTAGGGTATGACTTTTTCCTCCATAAAACAAATGAAAACATTGGGAAAGCATGTTCCTCTGTAGGTCTATAGTTTATAATACATTATAAACCTATTTACATATTTGTTTATTTCAAAATTAGGGTATTTACAGCTAGAAGGTGAAGCGGTTCATCTAACCTAGGCCTAACTGACTTAAGTTTCAAAGGCCACTTGATTTTACAGAAACTGTAATCCATGGTTCAGTTTTCTTTAAACAGCCACTACAAACTTCAGCTAACCTTAGCCACCACAAGCTAACAATCAATGGAAGTGATGGGGGGATGTGAGCATGTCATTTTCTTTTTAAATGTCCAAATCACCTGAAATCAATTCAAATCAACTCCATATTTGGTTTGATGTTACTTAAAGGTGATTTGGCAATAGAAAAACATGCTCACATGCCTTCATCACTTCCATTGATTGTTAACTTGTGGTGGCTAAAGTTAGCTGAAGTTTGTAGTGGTTTAAAGAGAACTGAACCATGGATTACGGTTTCTCCTGGCCATAGACTACTTTCAGGGTGAGGAAACATCTAACATCAAGTTGTAAAATAGTGAACTACTCCTTTAAGGCCATTTCAACACCCTGTTTTGAGTTCAGAGACTTCAACACAAAAACAATTTCAAATAATTTTAATGGATCAGAAATATTTGTTATGTTTTAGGTTACAATTTAATGTAAATTAAAGAGAAATAGAGGCCCAGTAAAAACATCAGCATCAAGCATTTAGATTTCTCCCCATCTAGTCTAGGCTATTTACAGGCTAATATAGACCTACTACTTTTAACAACAGAAGATAGTACAATATTAATTTTAACAACAAAAATATTATGATATGAATCACATTTAACAAACATAGGCCTATGATAATTCCTCTGACTATGTAACATGCATTGTAAGAGAGCGAGGGCAGAGCGGAAGGTCCTATGGCCTAACATGGGGATGCGCATATTTCTCTTCTCATTTGAAAATGCTTTCCATTTAGTTAAACTAGATATCCACTGATTCTTTTTGTCGATCTTAATTTATTTGAAGCTGACCAATTAGTCTACATGTTTTTATGGAGAAATGGCAAGGACCACGTTGTTTGCGTGTTGAATTGTCTTTTGGCAGGCCAATATCAAGTTACATAATATTCTGAAGTTGTGCTGTGAAGTTGTTAAGTTGTATTTTCAAATCAAATCAAATCAAATCAAATTTTATTGGCCACATGCGCCGAATACAACAGGTGTAGACATTACAGTGAAATGCTTACTTACAGCCCTTAACCAACAATGCATTAATTTTTTCATAAAAAGTAAAATAAAACAACAACAAAAAAGTGTTGAGAAAAAAAGAGCAGAAGTAAAATAAAATAACAGTAGGGAGGCTATATATACAGGGGGGTACCGGTGCAGAGTCAATGTGTAGGGGCACCGGCTAGTTGAGGTAGTTGAGGTAATATGTACATGTGGGTAGAGTTAACGTGACTATGCATAAATAATTAACAGAGCAGCAGCAGCGTAAAAAGATGGGGTGGGGGTGGGGGGGGGCAGTGCAAATAGTCCAGGTAGCCATGATTAGCTGTTCAGTTCGGTTTGCTCTTCTGTTAATAATGTACACTAACTTTACAGTTAAACCATAAATCAGATTTACCTAAACAATATATGATCAACGTTGTTTTAATCAGATTTACATTGTTAATCACCCCATAAATAGAATCAGTCCCTGTTTAAATGCAGTAGGCCTAGAGTTTACACAACTAGCTGCATCTATTTCATGGCTCTGCTAATAATAAGCCTATAAATTCATACGAGGAAGGAAGTAAGAAAACAGCCCTCTTTTCTCATTATGAGGGCAAAGATGTATGACGTTGAAATAAAAATAAAATGCAGCTTTTGAAGTGTAAAACGAGGAATTAACTTGAAAATGTCTCTGTGTATGCAGTCCTACTTTTAATATGGCGTCTGTTTGCATTTTAAACTTATTTTCCTGGTTTGGTTTGCGTCGAATTACTAAAAAAACTTCTCATGATTGGGTGCACATTTTCAAGGAAGAGTGAGTTTGTTGCCAGCTCGTGCATTAAGACAGTTTCAATCTTCTTTGATGATAAAATGACCTATTTTCTTTCATCTGAATAATATTTATTTAATGAAGACATGCAATGTTGATAGACATTTTAATGAATTATCATAAAATTGTGCATCTAGGCGCTGTTATGATGGGATGAAGGGTGAAAATGACCTCATATGACTGGCGAGACATTGGTCAAACTTCAAACCTTGTCCCTCTCTTGGATGTTGTGAATTTTCCCAGTGATTTGCCCAGTGGTGCACTAGAATGTATTTCGAGTGACACGAGTGGAATTTTACTTAATGTCTGCATGGTGCAGGGTTTCTTTTTCCTTTTTTAATGCTGATACTCATAATCCAATGTTAAACTTTGCAAGCTAGTTTTCTAATATCACTCTCTCTCTCTCTCTCTCTCTCTCTCTCTGTCCTCCTCTCTAAGGCGGATGTTCCCTGCGATGAGAGTAAAGATTGTGGGTCTGGACCCCCATCAGCAGTATTACATAGCCATGGACATTATTCCTGTGGACAATAAGAGATACAGGTATGCTCCTATCTTCTTAAGGTATGCTCACACTTCTTAGCCCATCCTAACATTTCCTAACATCCCCCTTCAGATGGATGTGTACAATGATGAATGCAAGGGTGACGTACAGTGCCTTGCAAAAGTATTCATCCCCCTTGGCGGTTTTCCTATTTTGTTGCATTACAACCTGTAATTTAAATGGATTTTTATTTGGATTTCATGTAATGGACATACACAAAATAGTCCAAATTGGTGAAGTGAAATGAAAAAAATAACTTGTTTCAAAAAATTCAAAACAATAAATTATGGAAAAGTGGTGCGTGCATATGTATTCACCCCCTTTGCTATGAAGCCCCTAAATAAGATCTGGTCCAACCAATTACTGTAAGAAGTCATATAATTAGTTAAATAAAGTCCACCTGTGTGCAATCTAAATGTCACATGATCTGTCACATGATCTCAGTATATATATAAAAAATATCCAAAACTTTGAACATCCCACGGAGCACCATTAAATCCATTATAAAAAAATGGAAAGAATATGGCACCACAACAAACCTGCCAAGAGAGGGCCGCCCACCAAAACTCACCGGCCAGGCAAGGGCATTAATCAGAGAGGCAACAAAGAGACCAAAGATAACCCTGAAGGAGCTGCAAAGCTCCACAGCGGAGATTGGAGTATCTGTCCAATGGACCACTTTAAGTTATACACTCCACAGAGCTGGGCTTTACGGAAGAGTGACCAGAAAAAGCCATTGCTTAAAGAAAAAAATAAGCAAACACGTTTGGTGTTCACCAAAAGGCATGTGGGAGACTCCCCAAACATATGGAAGAAGGTACTCTGGTCAGATGAGACTAAAATTGAGCTTTTTGGCCATCAAGGAAAACGCTATGTCTGGCGCAAACCCAACACCTCTCATCACCCCGAGAACACCATCCCCACAGTGAAGCATGGTGGTGGCAGCATCATGTTGTGGGGATGTTTTTCATCGGCAGGGACTGGGAAACTGGTCAGAATTGAAGGAATGACGGATGGCGCTAAATACAGGGAAATTCTTGAGGGAAACCTGTTTCAGTCTTCCAGAGATTTGAGACTGGGACGGAGGTTCACCTTCCAGCAGGACAATGACCCTAAACATACTGCTAAAGCAACACTTGAGTGATTTAAGGGGAAACATTTAAATGTATTGGAATGGCCTAATCAAAGCCCAGACCTCAATCCAATTGAGAATCTGTGGTATGAATTAAAGATTGCTCTACACCAGCGGAACCCATCCAACTTGAAGGAGCTGGAGCAGTTTTGCCTTGAAGAATGGGCAAAAATCCCAGTGGCTAGATATGCCAAGCTTATAGAGACATACCCCAAGAGACTTGCAGCAGTAATTGCTGCAAAAGGTGGCTCTACAAAGTATTAACTTTGGGGGGGGGGTGAATAGTTATGCACGCTCAAGTTTTCTGTTTTTTTGTCTTATTTCTTGTTTGTTTCACAATAAGAAATATTTTGCATCTTCAAAGTGGTAGGCATGTTGTGTAAATCAAATGATACAACCCCCCCAAAAAATCCATTTTAATTCCAGGTTGTAAAGCAACAAAATTTGAAAAATGCCAAGGGGGGTGAATACTTTCGCAAGCCACTGTACACATACAGTGCCTTCAGAATGTATTCATACACCTTGACTTATTCCACATTTAGATGTTTTACATCCTGAATTCAAAATGGATCAAATAAAAAAGAAAAGTTGCACCCATCTACACACAATACCCTATAATGACAATGTGAAAACATGTTTTTAGAAATTGTAACTCATTTATTGAAAATGAAATACAGAAATATCTCATTTACATAAGTATTCACACGCCTGAGTCAATACTTTGTAGAAGCACCTTTGGCAGCGATTACAGCTGTGCGTCTTTCTGGGTAAATCTCTAAGAGCTTTCCACACCTGGATTTTGCAACATTTTCCCATTATTCTTTTCAAAATTCTTCAAGCTCTGTCAAATTAGTTGTTGATCATTTCTAGACAAGTATTTTCAGGTTGTGCCATAGATTTTCAAATAGATTTACAGTACAAGTCAAAAGTTTGGACACACCTACTCATTCCTGGGTTTTTCTTTATTTGTACTGTTTTCTACATTGTAGAATAATAGTGAAGACATCAAAACTATTAAATAACAAATATGGAATCATGTAGTAACCAAAAAAGTGTTAAACAAATCAAAATATATTTTAGATTTTAGATTCTTAAAAGTAGCCACCCTTTGCCTTGATTACAGCTTTGCACACTCTTAGCATTCTCTCAACCAGCTTCATGAGGAATGCTTTTCCAACAGTCTTGAAGGAGTTCCCACATATGCTGAGCACTTGTTGGCTGCTTTTCCTTCCCTCTGCGGTCCAACTCATCCCAAACCATCTCAATTTGGTTGAGGTCGGGTGATTGTGGAGGCCGACCTCATGCGGAGATCATCCGTTCACCTACTCTGCGTCTCACAAAGACACGGCGGTTGGAACCAAAAATCTCAAATTTGGACTCATCAGACCAAAGGACAGATTTCCACCGGTCTAATGTCCATTGCTCATGTTTCTTGGCCCAAGCAAGTCTCTTCTTCTTATTAGTGTCCTTTAGTAGTGGTTTCTTTGCAGCAATTCGACCATGAAGGCCTGATTCACGCTGTCTCCTCTGAACAGTTGATGTTGAGATGTGTCTGTTACTTGAACTCTGTGAAGGATTTATTTGGGCTGCAATCTGAGATGCATTTAATGCTAATGAACTTATCCTCTGCAGAAGAGAGAACTCTGAGTCTTCCTTTCCTGTGGCGGTCCTCATGAGAGCCAGTTTCATCATAGCGCTTAATGGTTTTTGCGACTGCACTTGAAGAAACTTTCAAAGTTCTTGACATTTTCCGGATTGACTGACCTTCATGTCTTAAAGTAATGATGGACTGTCATTTCTCTTTGCTTATTTGAGCTGTTCTTGCCATGATATGGACTTGGTCTTTTACCAAATAGGGCTGTCTTGTCACCCCTACCTTGTCACAACCCCTGATTGGCTCAAACGCATTAGGAAGGAAAGAAATTCCAAAAATTAACTTTTTACAATGCACACCTGTTAATTGAAATGCATTCCAGGTGACTACCTCATGAAGCTGGTTGAGAGTGTGCAAAGCTGTCATCAAGGCAAATTATGGCCACTTTGAAGAATCTCCTATATAAAATAGATTTATTGGTTATTACATGATTACATATGTGCTATTTCATAGTTTTGATGTCTTCACTATTATTCTACAATATAGAAAATAGTAAAAATAAAGAAAAACCCTGGAATGAGTAGGTGTGTTCAAATTTTCTAACTGGTACTGTAAGTCAAAACTGTAACTTGGCCACTCAGGAACGTTCACTGTCTTCTTGGTAAGCAATTCCAGTGTAGATTTGTTTTAGGGAATTGTCCTGCTGAAAGGTGAATTCATCTCCCAGTGTCTGGTGGAAAGTAGACTGAACCAGGTTTTCCTTTAGGACTTTTTCTGTGCTTAGCTCAATTCCGTTTCTTTTTAATTCTGAAAAAATTCCCCAGTCCTTAATGATTACAAGCATTCCCATAACATGATACTTTGTATTCAGGACAAAAAGTTAATTGCTTTGCCACATTTTCTGCAGTTTTACTTTAGTGCCTTGTTGCATGCAAACAGGATGCATGTTTTGGAATATTTATATTCTGTACAGGCTTCCTTCTTTTCACTCTGTCAATTAGGTTAGTTAGTATTGTGGAGTAACTACAATGTTGTTGATCCATCCTCAGTTTTCTCCTATCACAGCCATTAAACTCTGTAACTGTTTTAAAGTCACCTGTGGCCTCATGGTGAAATCGCTGAGCGGTTTCCTTCCTCTCCGGCAACTGAGTTTGGAAGGACGCCTGTATCTTTGTAGTGACTGAGTGTATTGATATACCATCCAAAGTGTAATTAATAACTTCACCATGCTCAAAGGGATATTCAATGTCTGCTTTATTTTATTTTACCCATATACCAACAGGTGCCCTTCTTTGCGAGGCATTGGAAAACCATTGGACATTTTTACTCCTGATCTTATTTAGACTTGCCATAACAAAGGGGTTGAATACGTATTGACCTAAGACATTTCAGCTTTTCATTGTTATTTAATTTATAAACATTTCCCAAAAGATTATTCCACTTTGACATGATTGGGTATTGTGTGTAGGCCAGTGACAAAACATCTATGTTTAATCAATTTAAAATTCAGGCTGTAACACAACAAAATGTGGAAAATGTAAAGGGGTGTGAATACTTTCTGAAGGCATTGTACATTATATACAACACATGTTATTTGGAACATGACACTCTCTGTGTCTGAGATTGATGTTATAATTCAGTCAAACCAAAATAGTCTCTACCCCCAACTTGGACGATATAGCCTACTATTGATCAACTGTTGTTGTGTATTTTATGATGGAGAGTAGTTGACCAAGAACAAAAACAAAACATGCACAGATCTTTGCACATTTCACATGGTGATAAGAAATGCAGATATGCACATAAATCTGAATGGAACTTAAAACAATGGCTTTTACTGTATGTCCATCTTGGGGATAGATGGATATCTCCAGTCAAAGTATTTGAATGAATTTCTGGCATAGAGCACAATGTCTGGTGTTCCAGAGAAGGACACCAGAGGAGAATGAAAAGTATTTATCATGATGTGTTTATGGTTCGAGTGAGACCATAATGTTGATAGCTTTATTCAGTGTGTAAATGGCAAAACATATTTTTACTGTAAACCACTTTGACCATGGTGGAATACTAGTTTTATGTACGTAAGTTATTGAAAAAAGGCTTTACTATCTCAGCTACCTCAGAACGCAGTTTAATGTGTCATACATTGGTAATGTGTCAGAGCAACAGACAAAACGGCAGTGTCATAGTTGCATTAATGTTATAGCAGCGCTACAGATGGGTTTCCATGCCTTTGTTTTCTTTTATCTCAAATTGAACACAGAGTACATCTTCAGTTTATATATCAATAACATGCATTAATGTTATTATTGTTACAGACATCTTTACTATGTTTATCCGTTTTATTTGAGAAACAGAACTTGGCTGTCTTGAATGGAACACTGAGGAACCACTTTAACAATGCATTTTCAGTAGTTAAACATTATGTATTATTTTCCCAAGTTGTTTATTTACATTTTTCATCGAAGCACAGTAGAACCCTGGCTCTCTCACTGACTGAAGCATTTGCCTAAGAGGGAACGGTCTAGAGAATCCAAATATCATGGAAGATTTTTAGAAGCCAAAAGATCTTGTAAATTTAAATAGGATTTTCATTCTGGCTCGGGACTTTACCACAGGGCTTTGTAAACTGAGCTCTGAGCTGTCACTGGAATGTATCATAGTTCTCATAGAGTTGGGGTCTGGAAATACAGTCTTTACTTGCTTTACTTAGGCTCTCTGCCTCTCTTTAGGAATGTCTCGTTTATTCTGGACTCGTTAAATCTCTATATATTAAGTCTCTTTTATGTGGACAGTTGGGAAGTTTTAAGTTTGAATCAAAAACAACAGCAATGTCTACCTCTTAAAATGGACTGTCCACTATATGTGAGCACATACACACACATGCGCACACACACACACACACACACACACACACACACACACACACACACACACACACACACACACAAGAAAACACGTTTACATATGAGGACTTGACTTGATGATGCAAACTCGGACACACACCAGTCAACCTTGTAGGGTAATGTAACAGTGATACTTACTCTGTCAGTAAGGTAACCCAATATACAGCCTGGGTTTGGCAAGTGTGTGTGAGTCTTTTAATGTATGTGTCAGTCTGAATTTCTGTGTGTCCATAAAAGTATAGATCTGTTTCATGCGTTGCATGCATACATATGTTGCGTCGGTGGTCTGTCTGTGTGTGTGTGTCTGTGTGTGTGTGTGTATAGGAAGTATGGTGTTGGATGAGGAGGCTTGCCCCCCCCCCCCCCCCCCATCTGTCCAAAGGGTGTCACATAAAGTCTGATCTTTATTGATTGTGCTGGAGCCAGATGGCAGATTTATGGAAGATGAAAGGGGACTAATCAAATTTCCAGTCCTGTTTGGGGCTAAGGTTTCTCTCTTCCTTAACACTTTCCCTGCTACACAGAGCTTAACCCTAAACAGCACTCCAAACAGGAAATTACACAAACGCCTGGCATTCTGTGTGTGTGTTTGGTCTGGGGTCGGGTCTGTGTGTGTGTGTGTGTGTGTGTGTGTGGAGAGAGAGAGAGAGAGAGAGAGAGAGAGACGAGAGGGTTGTGTTGCTAGTCAATAACAAAGTGGCCAAATGACAGTTTTGTCCATGTTTTACCACTGAATGATGACTTTGGCAGAGGCGTTGCAAGTAAGCACTTTCAACTGTCCGCATGGCCAGAACTAAAGGCAAACAGCTGTGGCTGGGGCTACAGTGGACTGGAATCCCCCTCGTGCTTCAGTCAGTCAGTCAGTCAGTCAGTGAGGGGAATGCACTATGCTGGGCGGGGCAGCCATATTGTACCGTAACTCACAATACAACATCAAATGTTATGACTAAGCTTAATTGGTAATATGTCATTAAAAGCATATGTAGTGTGTGTGGGGATATTTGATGTCTCTATTGTGAACACGCTCTGCATCTGAAACACATGACACATGATGTCCAAGACTTCAATGCTTCCCAATAACATGCAAAACCTGTGGAAAAAAACAGAGAAAGAAATGTGAAATAAGGTTTGGTGCTGATACGTCTGTCACTGTGTGTCTGTCCTCCAGATATGTGTACCACAGCTCCAAGTGGATGGTGGCGGGGAACGCGGACTCCCCTGTGCCCCCGCGGGTCTACATCCACCCAGACTCTCTGGCCTCTGGAGACACCTGGATGAGGCAGGTGGTCAGCTTCGACAAACTCAAACTCACCAACAACGAGCTGGACGACCAGGGCCATGTGAGTGAGCCGGTGAGCCGGCTTAACTTGACATACCATACTCTTGCCTCCCTCCTACACCTGTACACTTTAACACTTTAACACTTCTACACTAATATAAAGATATATTAGTAATTGTACTGTTTCAGTATTTCTCAAAGTGCTTTACATTATAATAGTGGAATTTACTTCACCCCACCCATGTATAGATAAGACTATTCTTAGAGAAGAAGAGAGACTGTTTTTGCTACTTCGGCCTTTATCGACTGATACTGAAACAGTCGATCGGTCGTGATGTAGTTATGGCACATGATGGATCTCCTCATGACATGAACTCAGTGCTGTTACAGGCCAGATTGCTTTGATTACCAGGTTGTTGAAACATTCAGAAGAGCCAGTGCAAATCCATTTCTCCATTGAGGTCCTGATTTAGGGATGCCAGGTAATGTCATCACTCAAGACGGACCCAACCTCCCCATGACGGAGGGATACATAATTTAGAATCTGCTCTCAAAATGGCTGCCTGTGGGGCGCTGTTGGGCTGGCACACCCTGGTCCTCATATGAGCCTGTTTTCCACCCGGCCAGCGGATTCTATCGCAGGTCCGTTCTTGTGACAAATGTAATAACAGATGCAGCAGTGGGCGCGTATTTTGAGGGGAGTCAGGCAAGGCCCCTTTTTCCTCTCCCACAGACTCATTATAAGGCCTTTGTTCCCCTGGAGGCCTCGAGGCGAGAGGAAATTAACTTTGTAACTTCCTGTGTGGGAAACCTCACCGCAGATAGGCGGGTATCTGTCCCATCTCTCTTCTCTTCTTCCTCTGACTACTACCAAACCTCTCCATCAACAGTGGTGGCTATTGGTTATTAATCATCTGTTTCATGTCTCGTTGTGCTGCTGATTGGCTTTTACTTGTGATTCATAAATTAGATATACATATGTCACTGAATTCACTGCATTGTTACAGTAGGCCTATTGCCTTAATGCCATTACTACATGTATTGTTTTGACAAGAGATCCGTCAGATAAGACCCTTGGCTGCTCTGTGTTGTTGTGAGCTCAGTGTGTGTACGTGTGACGGGGGCGGGGCTGACCTGACTCAGGCACAGGCAGGACTCAGAATCCCGGCCCTAACTGCGGGGTCCCGTGGGCCGAGCAGGGGGGCAAGGTGAAGATGATGGGGTGGGGGGGCCTTGCTAGAATATGACATTTACTGTCACTGTTATTCGGTACTGTTTCCCCAATCTCTGTTTGAAATGACCCCCTTAGTTGTCTGTGGCTCCAGGGAGGCTTTCTCACTCGGCTGTAATCAAGAGCAGACAGAGAGCCGGAGGAAAGGCTGAGCCGCCTGCTGTCTGGTGTTAAATACTTACCTTACCACCCTCTCTCATTAGAAGTGTGGACTCATGTTCCTCTTAATTATATAGCCCTGATATGAATTCAGACTTGTGTAGACACACACACACACACACACACACACACACACACACACACACACACACACACACACACACACACACACACACACACACACACACACAGAGAGAGAATATAACCATTACGATCTCTCTGTGGTTTCAGATCATCCTCCACTCCATGCATAAGTACCAGCCTCGTGTCCATGTAATCAGGAAGGACTTCAGCAGTGACCTGTCCCCCACCAAGCCTATTCCCAGCGGAGAGGGAGTGAAGACCTTCAGCTTCCCTGAGACTGTCTTCACCACCGTCACCGCCTACCAGAACCAACAGGTCTGAGACCAGACACCTTTCTCAATGGGTCTATCTGCACCAGGCTTAGGGTCAATACATTTTCAATTCTGGAAGTGAACATAAATTCAGTATGAATGAAAAATGACCAATTATTATTATTATTAACTCAAATTCAGATTTTCATGAAATTCTTTATTCATTCATACATCCCTTCAGTCCCTCTTCGATAAAAAAATTATATAAAAAATATATTGACCCGTTTCTTCCCTCTCCAACATGTGCATTAGTCATCGGTATGTCATGTGTTTTGATTGTAATGTTTTTCTTTCATGCAGATAACAAGACTAAAGATCGACCGCAACCCATTTGCTAAAGGATTTCGGGATTCAGGCAGAAACAGGTATATATTTCTCCAGTAACACGAGGTCCATGTAATACAACATGATTCAGCGTTTGCCATGCTGTGCGGCGCAAATCATTATTTTTCTCCAACGTGGCCTTTAATATGGAAATAATCCCCTGGAGATACCTCCTAATCCCATATGCTGCTCCATATAAAATCAGTCACTCTCTCCCCTGCCAAGAAAACCCCATTACATCTGAGATAGAACCACATGTTTTGGGTAGGGCTCTCTCTCTTTCCCTCCTTTTCTCTGTCTGTCTGTGTGTCTGTCTGCCTCTCTCTCTGTGTGTCTCTCTCTCTCTGTGTCTCTCTTTCTCTCTCTGTCTGTCTGTCTGTCTGTGTGTCTGAATTATCATATATAGCGGGGGAAACACTGAACCAGACCCTCAGCACATGAAAGCTCCAATCCCATCTGGAGCGCATTATTGGCACAGATATTTGAGACATATTTTTTCATTTTTCAAACAATAGAGTGCCGGATTTATGAACTAGCATTAGAATTTCATTGCTGAAAAGTACAGATTAAAAGATTATGCAGGAATAAGATATTTATAGACAGAAAATGTATTTATCCTTACACATATCCTAACTCTGCTCATGGTAGTAATTTACCTCATCACTGTTAAACTGTGCAGAGTAATGCCACATTATAGCGATCTGAAATCAATCAAAACAGTGACATATTACACAAGCTAAATTAACTACTGAGTTGGTTCTCCTCTTTTAATTTATATGTTAATACAGATCTGTCTCAGGCATTAAATTAGGATTATGTCGTCAATTGGATTTTGCCTGGTGACACATAACTTTATGAGGTAAAACAGGGCATAGCTTATTTGTTGGGTTTTGGTCTTGAGTGCTATGAATGAGCGCACTGATGGCCAGGGCCTGTGTGATTAGCGTAGTGCGCTAACGAGCTGGAATGGCCCGGGAGTTACTGGCCCTAAAATAACATGGTCGGGACAGGCCCTCGCTGGGATAGGGCCCAGCGGGGCACACAGGAGTAAATCACGCAGGAAGGAGAACCGTGTTCAAGATGAAATGTCACCCAGATTTATGATCACAGTAAAAACCTGCTCCTTTTAATGGCTTCAGTTTCCTCCGTCTGACTCCACTTCTCCTTCTCTCCCTCTCTCTTTCCAACCTCTCTCACTTATACTCCCTCCTTTCTCTATGTCCCTCTCTCGCTCTTTTGACTATCTGTTTTCCCGTCACAACTCTTCCTTCCTCTTTCTCTTGCCCGCCCTTGTTATGTTTTATGTACGCAACCCATCCCTCACACTGACCCTCTTTTTTTTTTCTTCCACTGTTTCAGTCTCTCGTTCTCTCTCTCACACAGGACTGGTCTGGAGGCGATCATGGAGACGTATGCGTTCTGGAGACCACCTGTGAGGACACTCACGTTTGAGGACTTCACCAACATGCAGAAACAGCAAGGTGTGTAAAACTGTATCTAAACTATGTCCTAATCTCCCATCTACACTCTCTCACTGTCACTGCATACCTTTCCCTTACCTCACAACACATCAATTATCTATGTCCTTCATCAGTCTGGTCATCACTGGTCATCACTTTTGGCATGTCTGTCTGACTTGGAATGTGCTGAACTTTTCACATTCTGCAGGACCTTGAAAATAAAATAATTAAATGAACCCTGTGGCTTTTGGACTGCTTTGTGACGTGAGCGGTATCAGTGAAAGCCGCATGCGTCTCTCCCCAGCGAGTACAGCTCAGCACAGTGTCTTAGTCATGGCTCGTATCACAGGCCCCGATGCTTAAAGCAAGCCGATTTCCTCAGCACTCCTTTCTCCGAGGTCATGATGACGTTACGCCACTCAGTATTTTGTCTGTGCTGACATCTGTTTGTTATCACAAACTCCTCCAAACCGATTAGACGTTAATTAAAGTCCTCGCGCCGCTGATGAACTTTGGGCGCTCCGTAAGGACTGAGCACCCCCACCCCGCCAGCGGCACCAGACGCCCTTTCAGCGGGGTAATCAACAGTTCCCCTCAGCAACGCTGAAGCTGCTCTAACCCCGACCAGAAAGGAAAACATGACATCACTGTGATATCCTCCTCTCCTGACCAACAGAAACTTGCAGAACTGAGCTGAGCTGAACAGAACAGCACAGCAGTATTATCGAAGGCATATGGTGCAGTCAGAATCAGAACTCTGGCCAAGAGAGAATCCTGATCTAGTTAGTTATGCAGTGTTTCTTCTTTTCTTTAGCTGGTTTCAAACTGAATTTTAACAAAATGAATGCGGGCCAAATTCTCATTAATAAAGAAATATGTGATTCCAAAAGCTTGACTTATTGCATGTTAACCTGTGCCAAGATTAGTTTTTTATTTTTACGTTCATACATGTCTAAATTATGAATGCATGATTCTGTGAGAAAAGGGGCAAGCTCGGAGCTCTGTTGACCAGACATGTACTGTACCAAACTGAAGCCACATTTATGCTCAGAAACAAGTACTGTTATTTATGAGAGGGTTTAAGATCCCATAAATAGTACTATTTCAAAGAAGTAATGCGGTCATGCAATTAGTCCTTAAAATCAGATGTTGAGCAAGTCGAGGTGGTGAAGTCAGCTGCAACTCACAAGTAAGTGTAATATCGAATTCTTTAATACATGTGAATTAAGTTGCTTATGCGCCAGCCTTAAACATCACTCACTTATTTGACCGGTTAGGATCAAACGGCAGCAGTCGCTGGAAGGAGACATTTTGGCGGCGAAAGGTCCAATGGCTGAAATGAGAGATACTCTCAGAGTGTGACTGTTGGCCAGTGTTTGTGTTGTTGTTTCACTCCGTAGCGCTGGCTCTGTCTCACTGTCTTTGCGTTGTGTGTGTGTGTCTCTGTGTGTTTTTCAGGAGGAAGCACGGGTACCTCTCCCACCACCTCCAGCACAGGAACCCCCTCCCCTTCTGGCGCAGCTCACCTCCTGTCCCCCTCCTGCTCACCGCCCACCTTCCACCTGGCCCCCAACACCTTCAACGTGGGCTGCAGGGAGAGCCAGCTCTGCAGCATGGGCTTGTCTGAGTACCCGGCCTGCGCCCGCAGCAACATGGCGGCCCTGCAGGGCTACGGGGGCCTGGCCGACAGCTCCTATGGACGCCTCCAGGCAGCAGGGGGCACTGTGGCCTCCACCCAGCAGTCTGAATCCTTCCTGCCCCAGAGGACTTCCTCCCTGATTGCTGCGGGAATGCAGGGGGGCGGCCATGGCTCTCTGTCCGGAGGCAGCAGTGGAAGCGCTGGCGGGAAGATGGATGCCTATGGAGGTCAGCTGAACTCGTTCCCATCCTCCCAGCTGCAGTATGTGATGCAGGCAGGCGCTAGCTCCGCCTCTGGCTCCTCCTCTTCTGGCTCCTCCCCCTCATCCGCCCACATGTTCAGCGGGGGCCACCACCATGTGCAACAGGGGTCCTACAACGCCTTCTCACTCCACAACCCCTACAACCTGTATGGATACAACTTCCCCACCTCCCCTCGTCTGGCCGCCAGCCCCGAGAAGCCCCAGGGCGGCCTCCTGTGTTCCTCTTCCCCTGCCGGGGCGTTTGCCGAGCGCCAGTACCTGTCCAACGGTGGCATAGACAGCGTGCACATGATCGGAAATCCCTCTGCTGGCCAGCAGGGGGCTAGCTCCTGTGATGGCCGTCAGTATGGCTCCTCCTCTCAGATGTCCATGCACATAGTGTAAAAACTAGGATCTCACTTCTGACCCAATTTTCACTGTATTTCAACAAGTTATGTTTCTTCTACGATAAATCTGTTATCTAAGATGTGCTATTGATGTTAAGTCATTTTACATTTAGTGTTTGTAATACTGAGGTAGCCCGCAAAGTGAACCTTTCAAAAAATGACTTTTCATCTCATGATGTTTGTTGTTTTGATTTCCCCCCCAACAGGCTTTAAACAAGGGAGTGAAACTGTTATTTAATTACCACAATAGTGTTAAAAGGCGAAGTGAAACCTTATACCTGACTCTCTCAGTGACTGTTCAGAACACTAACCCCACTATTAGGGACACACAGAGGGATCCGTGAAGGAGAGGAGCCCATATACTCTTACTGTGCAGGGATTCTCAGGAGTGAACCCATTCATTTGTTATGGTGCAATAGTAATGACAGCCTATACAGTAACTCAGCCTTGTTGCTATGGACTCTATCCAGCCCCGGACAGGATGTGACAGGGGCTTCGTGTGATCCAGAAACTTCACCTCCACATCTCTAGTTTTATCAGGACAGTTATGCAACATTATTCTATAGCGTTGTGGCAACATTGGGAGAGAACTGAGAGGGTTGTGGATATTAACAGTGCCTGATAAAATATGAAGGTTTTCCCCTCTGGCCACTCAGAGGAGATGAAGGGAGGATGATGGTCGAGGCACAGAGGGTGAATATAATATCATACAGCACATACTGGAGGGATAAAGTCAAAGACCTAAAGGTCAGGGTGACGGAGGAACTATGTGTGTCTGACGGGGCCTAGTTGTTGGCCCTGCACCTCTCAGTGGACATGCTGGACGAGAGGCTCTGTTCAAGGGGGCACTGACCATACAGTGAAATCACCACAATCTTATCAACTCCTTTCCTCTCGGACTGGAATGGCTTCACAATTTTGAGTGGATTACCTTTTAAAAAGCATATATAAGATGGTGAATGCAAGTAAAAACCATAAGCTTTAAAGTTGTTGTGTGAAATGTTATAAATATACAATAGGAAAACAGAGTAATGAAAGTATGTTTTGGTGTGTTGTAGATAAGCGTATTTAAGTGCCAAGCAATAATACAATTATATGGGCCAATCTATCATGAAAACAAATGTGTTGAAAAAAGGGAAATATCACAAATATTCTTTAGAAAGGCCTTTTAAAAAACTGTAAATACAGGTGCCAAGCACATTAAAGTTCAATAAACATTTAAAATCATTTACATGGTTTTGATTCATTTACAGCCGTCACTCTATAAGATGCGCTTACCATCAAAGAGTGGACCACTAACAAAAACACAAAGAATAGAGCAAATGCATCCCCTGACATTTTCTTATGCAAATATCCCTTGCTAGCAATTACAATGATATTTTACCAAATGGTATCATGTTATTCGAAATCCATGGGGTTTATTTCATTAGTTTAAATAATAGGACATCTTACTGACTGTGGCTTTATCATCAGAAATCTGCAATACTATAACTATAAAAGTATGGAACAGTAAAGATGTAGAAAGATGTACCAGCATATCATGTATTTTAGAAAAAGTTTCCAAGAATGGTCTTCTTTATTATCACAAGCTTAAGGTCCTGTAAACACATCTGCTCTCGTTGGTTTGAACCAATGACTCAACACATCTATCAAACTGAAATAGGAAAAAACCCAGCCCAGTCCTGCTGGTTCTGTCTACCAGAGAGGAAAGGAATCAAGCCCAGTCCTGCTGGTTCTGTCTACCAGAGAGGAAAGGAATCAAGCCCAGTCCTGCTGGTTCTGTCTACCAGAGAGGAAAGGAATCAAGCCCAGTCCTGCTGGTTCTGTCTACCAGAGAGGAAAGGAATCAAGCCCAGTCCTGCTGGTTCTGTCTACCAGAGAGGAAAGGAATCAAGCCCAGTCCTGCTGGTTCTGTCTACCAGAGAGGAAAGGAACCAAGCCCATGTGCATAATGTAACACACAGCCCTATTGTTGTGGATGGCTGGACATAAATATGCCACCTTTCAGAGGAATGCAGCTCGTAATCATTTGAACATTGGAGAGAGAGAGAGAGAGCGAGAGAGAGAGAGAGAGAGAGAGAGAGAGAGAGAGAGAGAGAGAGAGAGAGAGAGAGAGAGAGGGAATCCATACAGTATTTATGGTGATTCTATTCTTGCTCTGCGGTGCCCCTCATTACAGATCCATTCAGACCCCAGTGATTTAGCAGGCCAATCAGCATCCATTACATGGATGTCCTCCGAGGAGAAAGTTCCTGCCCAATCACTTCATATCATGCGTACGGTTCCAACCATGAAATATCATATCTGAACCGTGATCAGAGAATGAAGTGGGTCTGGGACCGTAGAGACAGGGCTCAGTATTGGAAACACCTGTTTTCCAACCATGACTACAGCAATGAGTGGATGCACCGGAGAGGAGAGCAGCAATGATTTCATAATTTGGCATAACTCCATATATCTGGACATTATTTCCAATAATTATTCACATTATTTGTCTGATATCCCCCTACATCGTTTCAGCAGCATTTAAAATCAACTTCCCCTCACCACAAACTTACCTCAGCTTTACAGAGAAAAGGCACGCACATGGAAGGAAGAACACAGAGTAGAAATCTACAAAGCATATGATACAATACACAGCAGAGTCTGCTATAGCACAGTACTACCGAATCAAAACATTGCCTTCCAATGTCAGATTCAGAACGGCTTGAATAACAACCTCCTCACATCCTTTCATCTTGGCTTCTTTCATTAGCAGTAAAATATGCAAACAATCCGATTGATTGGTTAATAGATGTATATGCCTGCCATATAGTAAAATATGAAACTGGAACAATTTAAGATTCCAAACAAACTTCTGACAGGCTGGATATTTTATGAGACACTGACAAAGTTGAGAGGGTTCCAGTGCCTATTGCTGGGCTTTGAGGCCATTTTGAGTGACAGCATGCTGACTGGAAGGTATCCATCTCATAATCCCCTCTGTGGTCATTGCTCTTTCTCTTGGAGCAGATTTCAGACGTTTTACAGACTCCCAAATGTGATTTCTGTCCCCAGGGAACCTTACTGGGCAAGATTCTGACTGAAGACCATTATTGGAACTGTGCAGAAAAAGGGATACAAAACGTAACTTTGATTGGGGACTTGGGGGCTGTTTTCTTTTGATAGGCTGGACTGCTGGTTGTGTGTATCACCATATAAGATACGATTTTTGGTAAACTATTGCCCTCTTGTGTTTATACTCCTATTTGCCGTGGATTCCTAAGCGTTGGCCGATCATACTAACTGTCAGGAGGTTCACTATCTCAATGTAGTACTTTACAACTGACAAGTGCATTACAACACTAAATCACCTGTGTTTCACAACCAAGATTTCAATACCTTTGAATACCTTGCATACCTTTTTTATTTTACATCTTGAAGGTATTTTGAGAGTAACACAGGATGCATATCTGAGCCCTGAGTTTTCAACTAAAGCAACACGTTGATTTATTGCCAACTGCACACGTTTTTATTGCAGACACATTAAACGTTTTGAAACACTTTTGAAATACTTTTTATTTCATTTTTTACATAGGAAAATACATTTACAGCCAGCGATCCAATTTGACTTAAGAACTATGCAATGCGAAAAACCATATTCCTTTAGTCATCATGTTCCTGATTTTCTGGATAGACACCTCTCTAGGTATGAGAAAATAATTCCTCTCTGTTTCTACTTTTTAGTCCACATGCAGGGAGGAGAGGAGGAGAGAACGTGTTCTGAATCCAACTGGTTGGTGATTCATGGTTTCCCTTTGCTCTGTGTGAGAAAAACAGCATTGAGCAGCTCATATGTCAATATGAGGTTTCAAACACACACACACACACACACGCACACACATACACACACACACACATACACACACACACACACACACATTCTCTGAAATGTGGACACATAGGTCAACAGGAAATACTTTAAATGTTTTTTTCCCCTTCTGGAGGGAACAGAGATGTTTGCGATACCATCACCCCAAAGGCAGGTGTTTCTGATCAACCTGAGGGCCCAGATGGAAGCGGCCCGGCCGGGGGTCTCCTGTGGCGGGTGGCCTGCCGAGTACAGAGACGCCCCACCGGGTCACCTCCATGGCTAAATGAGTGAGGTCCGGTCCGGAGCGGCTGCCTCCTCAGAGAGCCTGCGGATAGTGTGACTGACCTGGACGGCTGACCCGGATACTGAACTCCGACAAGGGCCAGACTGAGCTGTGTGGGAATAGGAATAGCCAGGGTTTGAGAAGAGACATTAACGTAGAAGGTAGAAATGTTGAGGGATTTAGGGTTGTGGGTTTCAAATTGCCTTCAGTGCTGAGCAAAACCTGGGCTTGAGAAAAAGGCCTGGTTTTGGGGTGGTTTGGAGGGTGGTGGTGGTCGAATAGCACACATATGTGGGTTGGTTGGTGTGGTGGGGGGTAGGGTAGGGTGTGCTTGGAAGGGAGGGGGGTTTAGGGGGGGGGGGGCAGATACAGCGAAACAGGTGTCCCAGTGCCTCCACCAGGAGAAAATAAAATTAGGGACGGCTCAGACATGAGCAGCTCAGACAGGATCTGAATACGATGATTGGTGGGAATAAAAACCAGAGAGAGAGAGAGAGAGATGGGGGGAGGGTTCAGGTCTTCAACAAGAGGTAGTAGGGATGTGAATATGGCAGAATATAGACAGCGTTACTGCACAGTAGTAAATAACAGTGTTATCTAGGACATTGAGAGATCTCAGCAGATATTCAACCAGTGATCATGGGCTAAACAATACTAATGGTTCTGGATGTATAAACAGCATTATATGGGTAAAGCAATGCTCTGTGTCATAAATAAAAGGCCTATTAAAAAACATGCTTTTAAGTGGCGCATTTCCCAATTATTTGGCACGGAATGCGTCTCTTGTCCTTGAAGGGCCTTCAGAGTAGGCATTCTGAGTCGCCATTCGCTGTGCTCGTTATTTTCACAGGAAGTTTGTTTA